CGCGCAGGGGCGGCGCGCACGGCCGCGCAAGGCCGAGGCAGGCCGAGGCACGCGCACACTAGCGCCATGAGGGAGACGCGCTCCGAGCGGGGCCGCCACAGCTCCGGCAGCAGCCTCTTCCAATGCATCGCGCCGCCCAAGAACAACTGGAGCCAGGTGCTGATGACGGCAGGTGAGGCCCATCAGCTGCGTCAGTGCGCGCGTTGTCCGTGAGAGGTGCGAGGGCGTGCGCGAGGCTGCGCACCGCCGGTGCGTCGGAGGCCTCCGTCCCGTCGATGTGCCGACGCCGGACCCGCTCTGCTCGGCACGGCTCGTTATGTGGCGCCGCCGCTCCGACGGCGTTCGGCGCGGCGTGATGTCCTTGGTGACGGCGACGCGCCGATGGCTGGGACGGAGTGGGCTGGCGCGCATCTCCGCTGGCCCGGGGCGGCACATTCCGGGCCGGCCGGCCGGACGGCGCTGGCCGTGCGTGCACAGCGAGCCGGGCCGGGGCGGCAGCAGCTTCTCACGAGGCACCGCCCGCGCGCGCGCGCGCGGTTCATCGCTCCGCAGCGGGCGGCGCCGTGTCGGCCGCCGCTCTGTTTGTCCGCAACTGGCGAGGTGGGCCGCGCGGCGGGCGGACAAAGGGCGGCGCTCTGCCCGGTCGGCGTCAATGGACCGCCCGCCGGCGGTCGGCCGGCCGGCGGGACGGACGGACGCGTGTGGCCTCTGCCTCTGGTGCCGCCTCGGTGTGGCCCGCTCTCGTCTCCCGCCCTCGCCGGCACCGGCACCGGTACCGAGCGCCGGACGCCGCCTTTGGCCCGCGACGCCGACCCTTCCCCGCTGCCTCAGCCGGCACCCTCCACGGCGGCATAATTAGCCGCCGGGCTAGCTCGGCACGCGCCCGAGCGCTCGGCTGTGGAGTCCGGGACGGGAGCAGGATGTACGTGCGGTTGTGAACCACCCTCGCGCCCAGCAGGGCCGGCCCACGTTCTCCAGAAGATGCCACACGTCCCACTGAGAAGACGATGTGATCCGATGGACGTCATGGATTTAGACAGCCGCCGGCCTCAAAAGCCCTGGTAACCAATCCATCAGGCGTGTTCTGTTGGTTCCCTGGGCAGAGTTCGTCCTAGTAGCAGTTGCGTGCGATGCCGCCTCCTTCGACCTTGGTGCGTAGGCTCGCCATCGCGAGCGCCGTCGGGGCCGCCGCCTCCCCGCGGCGGTGTCATCGGCGGCGACATCTGGCCCGCGTTACGACCCTGAGCGCGGCGGGGCTCAACGGCGGCGCTGCCACGCGTTTTAGGCAGTGGCGCCGGCAGCCAGGCGGCTGGACTCTGGCGCCGCCAGACTGTCGGCGTCGGCGGCCGAGGCGGGCCAGACAATCAGCCGCTGATGCCGCTAAACGAACGGCGCTTCCTGGGGCGCCCGGCATGGCCGTGAGTCGCACGGAGTGAGATGTCATCACCGCAGGTCCGGAGCGGCAGCTGGCGTCCGATGTCATGACACGATTAATACAACATTGGGTAATGAGATAGATTGGCGTGGCTATTGGGTTTGCGCGGGTACTATCCGTGGACGGGACTATTTCTCGGTAGCCGTGCGGGCCGATTGGTCGTTGCTCATCCTCAGATGAATCCTCGAGCGACAGTTTCAGGCGCCCCAGGTGAGGAGACCGGAGATTCCGCGGCGCAGATGAATCATGTACCGTACCCAGAGCGGGAGGCGAGCAGCGCCGCCAGGTCCCGCACAGCTCATCTCTCAGATTTGGGGCGGACGCTGTCCTCTGTGGCGCTGGCAGGGAAAGGTCACCTCCGCTCCAGAGCGATGGCTTCCATCAGGCCGCCGGTCAGCGCTGATGAACTGAGCAGAAGTCAGCGCTGATGAAGGGCGCTACCGCACCGAGCCGACCTCACCCTTTCGCGACGGCGACTGAGCGGCCGCCCAAGCAGCAGTACAAGGCTGCAAAGGCACCGCCCCAGGGGTCCGAAGCAATCCTTGGTGGAGGACGCTATTTGCGGCACCCTTTTGTCCTGAACAGCCTGTCCAAGAGTCTCTCCTCGCTTGATGTTCCTGTCGATCCCAACTAGCACGCGATTCAGCTCTACGTCCAGCACAGCGCGCGGCCCCAGCACTGTGCCGGTTCAGTAGACGCGACGCTAATGACGCAGCCGACGGTTGCGTTGATGGATGACGCGGCGGCCGGGGCCGGGCCGCGCCGTCTCCGTGCCACCGTCCGGCCGGCTGCCTGTGTCCGGGCACGCCATCGGCGGGAGGACCGGCCGATCGATGCCGGCTGTTTGTCGCCGTCAGAGTGGTCGAGGGTGCCGGTCGCTCGTTAGTGAGTCCCCCGGCGGCGTGCGGGCGGCGACACAGCGGCAGCCGGGTCGCACGCTGTCCGTCGCGCCGGCACGCCGCTGCCGGCGCGGGCGCCGCGCGCACGCTGCACGGCCGGCGGTGCACGGCTCCCGGCACGTCCCGCTGATCGAGTGCGGTGTAACGCTGGAGCCGCGTGCGCTTCCGGCACACGGAGAGGTCGTGGCTGGATGGTCGCGTCGAGTTTGTGATCCCCGGTGAGCTGGAGGTCATTTGTTGGGATCACCAGTCTTCGTCAGATCTTCCTTACTTCGGGAGTTCCCAGGTTTGAGTCCCAACTACCGACGCTTGACAGCTTCCGTAGGCCATGGGTCGTCATATTTGCTGCGGTTTCAATCCGCTCGTTTGCCCTATAAGACAGATGTCCGATTTGCGTTGTGCCGACTTGGGGGCGTCAGCGCCCCTCCTCCCCGCTCGCTGAGGCGTGGTATCTCACGCAGCGAGTTCCGGCCGCGTATGCCAGGTGATGGGATCTGTGGCCGGCTCAGAACTCAGATCTGTGGCGCCGCCGTGCCCGCGTTAACCCGGCTGCGCTGCGAGGGGGGGGGGGGAAGATGGCGTTCTGGCACGGTTCCCGCTGTCGGCCCGGTGGCATAGGCGCCCTCGGCTCCAGCCTCTTCGTACCGACGTCCTGGCGCGCGCACACGCGCTGCATAACATTTGCATGTACGATGCGCGCTGCATGAGACACAGTATAAGCCTTGTATACAACACGCACTGCGCAGCATGCTGCGTGAGCTTTCGTTGGGGTTGCAGTTCTCCAGCCGCTTTGTATCGTTGCATCCGGTGAGCGCTCAGCTGTGGCGAGTGTTCTGCTCAGCTGCGGCGAGTGGTCTGCTCAGCTGGGGCGAGTGGTCTGCTCAGCTGCGGCGAGTGGTCTGCTCAGCTGTGGCGAGTGGTCTGCTCAGCTGCGGCGAGTGGTCTGCTCAGCTGCGGCGAGTGGTCTGCTCAGCTGTGGCGAGTGGTCTGCTCAGCTGCGGCGAGTGGTCTGTTCAGCTGCGGCGAGTGGTCTGCTCAGCTGTGGCGAGTGGTCTGCTCAGCTGCAGCGAGTGGTCTGCTCAGCTGCGGCGAGTGGTCTGCTCAGCTGCGGCGAGTGGACGCCGCGGCGTCGCGTGCCACTAGTCGTCGTCCCTCATCCGCTGCACCCGACGGCGATGGGCACCTTCCAGCCGCCTCCGTTACAAACAATGCGGCGCGGCAGTTGTGGCGACCGCGAGGGACGTCGGGCCGTCGCCACCGCCACCGCCACGGCAGCCGTAGTACAGCGGCGGTACCTCGCGACGCCGGGTCGGGTGTCGGGCGGGACCGCGGCCTGCTGTCGGCCGGCCCTGTCGCTGGCGCTGCGGGGCGGGCGCTCGCTGCTGCCGGCGGGGCACTGGCCGCTCGGGGCGCGCAAAGCACCGGCCAAGACGCGGACGGAGCGGCGATGAGCTGCCGCCGGACTGTGTCCACAGCTGTAGCTCAAGGGCTGCGCCACGCAAGCAAGCCGCAGGTTTCAAACGTGCTTAATCCGCGATTCGGCCTCAAACTGTAGCTGTTCTGGGCTTGTCGGAGGTCGTGGTTTCCATTGAACGTTATGCATTCATTATGCTCATTCTGTTTGATTCCGCTGACTGCAACGAAGTCTTCGGAGAAGTCCGGAATCGATGTCCCATTATCCCGATAATAATCGTTTCATGTTTGAAAGACTAGTGAACTTCGTTCATTAGGGGAGCGCAGATGAAGCTGAAATAGTAATGAGCTCAATTCGTGCTTTCGCTTAGTCAAAGCCACAAACTGTATTTCATCGCGCAAGCTGATGAAGTCCCGAAGAATTTGAGAAAGTGTGCTGATTTGTGGCCCGATCTCTGCCTCGCAGTAACCTCAGAGCACTGAAATATGTAGTTTTCGTCCTTTGTCGCCAGATTTCAGACCGTCTTCACTATATTTACGAGGCGCTACATTGGCCGCCCATCGTCACGGGTCACCGACTCGCAACAACAATGGATAGCCCGCCCGGCTTTCTCAGCAAGCGTTGCTGCATTTAGCTATTGTGCCGAGCGTTTTAAGCTGCGACCCAAGGCCACGGCTCCGGTGCAGAATGCTGGACATTCGCCCGCCAGCCGCCACGATGGCCCGTGGTAACGGCGGCGGGGGCCTAATTGCGCCATTGACGTGATTGGGCGTCATTCAGCCGGGTGATGCGGCCGGTGAGGTCGGTAAGTGGCCGATCCCGGCCGCGCCCATGACCGACGAGGAGCCTCTCCCCTCCGTCCGACCTCCGCCGCTCTCCGCGCGCCGGATGGTGACGGATCGGCGGCCGGCTGGCGGCGGTCGGCGCCGGGAGAGCCGCGGCCTCCCCGTTCTCGCCGCGTTCCCCGCATGACTCGGTTACCCCCAGGCACGCCGGCGCCCCCCGCTTTCCAGCGACCGTGTCGGCGGCCCTTCCTTCCGCGTCTCTGGCGGCGGTAGCATGCTTGTGGCGTGGGCGGCACGTCTGCGGCAGTACCGGCGCGCCTGCGGCGGAACAGACGCGCCGAGTGCGGCGCTTCGCTCGCGGCTGCTGGGGCAGTGACGGATGGGAGCGCAGATCATTTGTATTTATGACGCGCCCGTGTCAGTCGCTCTGATTGGGTCTTTACTTATACCCCGCCTCAGCGTTAGCGGATGTAGCTTGTGTCAGGAGATGCTGGGAGACGAACCCGCAGCGTGTGACCTTGGCGGCCGGCAGGGTAATAATGTCCGTGTGTTTATTGTTTTATCGGGCGTCCGCGAGGCCTTTTGTGACGCGGCGGCGTCTGGCGCTCTCATCGGATGAGAGGTTTGTTTGTGTGACTGCATGGTCGGCCGTGGTGCCATGTTTCGTTTGGGAGTGTCCGCCCAGTAATCACACGGCCCGCCCGCCCGCCCCTGCTGACCGACCCCTCGCTCGTACCAAAGCCGGGCGGGGCGTTCGGCAGCCCCACACACTGCGCACATTCTTCGGGAGCCAAGGCAACTGGTCTGGACGAGGTTTATATGTGTCGGGTAGCTGTCTGCGTTTTTGGTCTGGGCTGCGTTGGTGGATTTGTTGCGCTGTTCTGCCGGCTAGGCTCCCAGGCGCGATCCGCGGTCACTCCGGGCCGGTCCGGGCCCGGGCCCGGCCACTGGCCGGTGTCCCGGGGCGGTGTTTTGTCGGCGCCTCCCCGCAGCTTGGGCTTCAGGCCGCCGCCGCTGCACCGGTGCCGTTTCGATGCGTCATCGCGCAGCGCTGCTTTTTCTCGCGGCCCCGCCGCCGCTTTTCGCAACAGATGTTTTGTCGTGACGCGGCGCGTGCATCGACCGTGTCAGCAGACATGCTCGCAAATCGTTCCACGAGCGGGCTATGTGGCTCACGTCCTCTCGAGTCTGCGGTGCGAGCTGCTTTGTTGTGGTTCGTTGGGAAGTGACGTGCTGCCCGACTTCTCCAGAGCCGGCAGCCATCTTGCATCCCCGTCTGTCCTGTCAAATCCCCTCCCCTGTGCCCGTCGGACTCCAAATGTCGTCACGCCAGGCATCGGGCGATCGCATATTGAGCCGAGCGTTCATCCCCGGCCTCCGTTGATTGGCCGGTGGAGCGGACGGTCTTGTCGTCCGACCGAATGACTCACGGGGGAGCCTGCCGCCGCCGCCGCCGCCGCCGTCGCCCCCGCCGCCAGCGACCAGCGGCCCAGCCGGCTCCGCGCCGCCAGGTTTTTGTGCCGGTCGTGTGTGTGAGAGCGGCGGACGACTGGTTAGATACGCCACGGTGCGCTACGACGGCGGTTACTGCCGCCGGCGCCAGCTCCGCATCGCCCGCTCGCCGAACACGGCCGGCGCGCTGTCCAGGCCGGCGCGTAAACACACCAGATATACGGCCGCCGGCTGCCGCGGCCCAGTCTAAACTCCGGCAAACACATCTGACGGTCGTCGCGGGGTCCCTGCGGGCCGCGCCGTGCCGGACACGGGCGCCGTTGTGTAGGGGAGGCGGTGGCAGCGGCGGCGGCGGCGCGGGTTGGTGTCAGCCGCGAGCGATCCGACACGAGCGTCGCTGGCTGTCGAGTGATTGGCGGTCGAGCGGAGCGGGGGGGGGGGGGGGGAAGGGGCGGCGACAGACACACCCCTGTTTAGGTGCCGACGGACGACGGAGTCGGCGGCGCTCCGCCGACAGATGGTCGGCCGACACCGACCCTGAGGCTGACACCGCCCGCGCTGCGCCGCGCGATGGGTCCCCCGGCGTCGCCTGCGCTGCCGCGGGGCGACGCTGACGGGCGGGCCGCGTCAGCTGGGGCGACGCCCACGCATTGTGCCGCAGCCAGCCGCCGGCATGGCGGACGATTCGGCCGCCGCCGAATCACGCAGGTCGTGTGTTGGGCCGGCGCCGAGTGGGCCGTGCGGAGCGCCCCTTGACGGACTGGCTCGCCGCGGGCGTCGGACGGCCCGCAGGCCTGCCGTGGGCTTGACATCAGGAGTGTGGACACGCCCGCACCCCCTGCCGCCGCCCCCGCCGCAATGTGTGGGGTCACGCCGTGAGCCCTAACTATCGGCCGTGCAGGCTGAACGACCCTCATTGGCAAGACAAATGGCCGCCTGCATGGACGGGGGTGTTTTAGGGAGACGGCTTGGAAATGCGGGCGGAGCCGACATTTGGCGCTGTACCCATACGCGTGAAAGGCGGCCCGGGCAGCAAAATCGTGCCACGTCCCCGCCGCTTAATGTTGTCATCACGGGTCAACAAATTATGATGGAAGCGGCCCATTTGTAATTTCGCGAGTGGGCTCTCGCCGCCCCCGCGCCGGCTCGAAAGCCTGGGATAGTCGTGCGCCGCACATCGACAGCGGGCCTGCCGGACCGCGGTGCCTCGGGCGCCGGACGGGCGCGGCGCGGGAGGGGGGGGGGGGGGAGGGACGCATGTGGTCCGATCTCATCTGACCCAGATGGGAGATAGCCCGTTCACCGCCTGCTGCATTGTAATGAGACCGTGTGCGGCCGGGCCGCTTGGCATTACCTGATCTGGCGAGTCGCGCTGCAGCAGCTTGATCTCTGCTGTCCCCCATCGCCAGAGGTCGCCCAAATCTGCATTCCATTCCCCCTATCTGTGTGCGTGTTCTCGATGGCGCCTGGCCCCATTACTGTTCAGCTGCGTTGGTGCGCTCCGGGGAGCGCTGCTCCGGTCCGTCGTCCTCCATCTGCCGCCGCCCTCCGCCTTCCGCCGTCCGTCGCCCTCGTCTCCCTGCCATTGGCTGCGGTGATTACCGACGCTGACGATCGGTTTGTTGTCACCTGGCGCTCGTTGGCGGCCCAACGGCCGTCACGGCGCCGCCGGCCGTGCGTGCGCGTGCACGTGCGCGCCGCCGGCCGCCGCCGCATGGCGCCGGCCGGGCCCACCGCACGGCGCCGCGCCCGGAGAAAACCGCCAGCCCGGACAGCACTCAGCCGTGGGAGCGCAGCTGGTCACGGCACCCGGCCGGCTGGCCGACGCCGAGTGAGGCCGTCCGCCGTGTGTAGACTGCGCTGTCGTCCGCCGTCAGCGTCGACCCCCCCCCCCCCCCCGCCCCCTCCCTGGCGGGGTGGGCGCTGGCCGGCCCGCTTCAAGTGGAAGGCTCGCCACGGGAGATAATTCGCCGCGTAGTTAATGCGGCCTGGGGCCCAAACGGGCATCGTGGATGGACCGCTCGGCGTACGCTGCATATGGAGTACAGGGCGGATGGGGGACTTGAACTGCGTGTCGACAGGCGTGATGGACGGCCGGGATGCCGTACATGGCCTGCAGAGGCGCGCTCGCTCGCTGGCGAGCTGCAGGCGTGGCCGGGTCGCTGACCCACCTGACCCGGGGCTGCCGGCCAACTGACTGACGCCCATTGCCTCTCTGTTTCAGATCTGAGGCTCCAGCTGAACGAGCAGCTGCGATGCCTGGACACGCGCGTGGACACGCAGACGGCCGTGGTCTCGGAGCTGCAGGTGAGGGCGGCGCCCGGTGCCGCGGCGTACCCTGTCTGCCGACAGCCACTCGACACGAGCCAGAGTGTCGGTGCTATCGAGTGATTGAGAGAGGAACCCGCAGCCGGATCTTATTTGGGTGCCCCCCCCCCCCCCTCCTCCCTCTCTCTCAACGGACGAGCGGGGTGCTGAGGACGATCCTACGGCCGTCGTCCTCACGCACGGCCTCTATCGCCCGTGGCGTCCAGTATGGGGTGTTTATAGATAGCGACGACAGCAGATAGGGGATATCACGGTCGCGGGATTGATGGTGCGGTGTCGACGACGTGCGCGGGTCATCAGCCCCCCCCCCCCCTCACCCGGGCCTTGCTCCTCCCCAAGACCTGGCCTGCCCCCCCCCCGTGAGACCTCGCCCGCTCCTCCCCGGGACCTGGCCCGCTCCGCCTCGGGACCTGGCCCGCTCCTCCCCGGGACCTGGCCCGCTCCTCCCCGGGACCTGGCCCCCTCCTCCCCGGGACCTGGCCCTCTCCTCCCCGAGACCGCGCCCGCTACTGACGGCTGGCGTCGCAGCCGGTTTGTTGTCTGGTCGACGTCCGTCCCCGGCGTCGGGTGGGACCTGCAACAAAAACGTCGACGCTCGACACGGGCCGGACGGCACTGACGGCTGGCGTCCCGCGGGAACCGGCCGGTCCGCCTCGTTGCCTGGCGCGCGACTTTTGCCGCGCTGTACGCGCGCCGGCGATTCGCGCGACACGCCCCGGGCGGAAGCGCGTCCGATAGATAGTGGCCGGCGTCAGCGGACGGCGGCCGGCCGCGGCGGCGCCGCCAGCCGACCGCTGCGGCGAGCGCGGCGCGGCGCGGCGTCTGCGGCCTCTCAGTTCGCCGCACTGCTGCCCGCGAGCGCCCTGACTCCGGGAATGTGACGTACGGCCTTACAATGCTGCGGCGGCAGTTGTGCACCGCGAGTCGGGCGGCGTCTCGCCCTCTCCCCCTCCCCCCCCCCCCCCCCCCCACCGCGACCCAGCGGTTTGGCCTCGCCGCAGCAGCCTGTCCTCCCGAGGCGGGTTCTGGACGGGTTGGCCGGCCGGCGTCCAGATGATATCGCGGACCAGTTGTATCCTTGCGGGGCGTGGCCGTCCTGTCAACAGCTCCCGTGTTGTGAAGGGCGTCTGTCGGACTCGCTCCGGCGCCGCCTTCGCGGATCACGCGCCGGCCCAATCGGCCCAAGGCGAGAACAATTGATCGTCGGTCTTTTTCTGCCAGGCTGTCCAACGAAACCGCCGTCGCGCTCGTTTGACCATTTGCCGTCCACGTCCAGATGTCTGGCACCCGTGGATGGCTCGATTGTTGTGAACCTGCGCGCGCGGAGAAAGGCCGGCGCGCGACCAGCTGTTGACCGCGCGAAACTGGCCAGACCGCGCTGCCCGTCGGCCGCAGATTCCGCGCCCTCTCGAAAGTGTGGGAAAGACGCCGCACTTTCCACACGCTGGCGGCAGGGTCGCTCGGAGGTGGCGGCCCCCGAAGACCGCGCTGCGCCATCCCGCTGAGCCGGCCGATACAACTGCGGGACGCTGCGTTGGCTCATCTCGTAAGGTGATGCCGCTATCAGCCGGCCGGGCCAGGCGGCGCGGCGGGGGGCAGCGGGGTCACCGGGTGCCCACCCCCACCGCCGCCGCCGCCGCCGCCGCTGCCGCCGCTGCCGCCGCCCGCCCGCCCGTCCGTCCGTCGGCGCGGCCCGCTGACAGACGGCTGTTCGCGGCGCCTTTCGTGTCTGCGGCAACCAGCTCTGTTGCTGTCCTATGGCAGCCAGCTCCGTTGCCGTCCGATGGCAGCCAGCTCCGTTGTTGTCTGATGGCAGCCAGCTCCGTTGCTGTCCGATGGCGGCCAATTCTGTTGCGATCCGATGGCAGCCAGTTGTATAGGGGAAACGTTGTATTAGTGTCTCCGGCTGGGTTCCTGGTTCCGGGTGCCTCGGCCTGTCGCGGCTGTGCTCCGTTGGCGTGCTGCGCCGCTGTGCACGTCGGTTGGAACAGAAACGCGCTGCGCGAGCGCCGCTGAGTTGCCGGCGAGCGCGCTGCGAAATCGTGGTCCGGTGCGGCCGTGCAAAAATCGCCGGCAGGAACACCGCCCGGGCAGCCTGGCGTGCGACACGCCCGTTCCGGGCGGCAGCTGGCGGAGTGGGGCGGGGCGGCGGCCGGCAGGACGGCAGCGTGGCCCACCGATCGGGCCGATCAGCCGCGCGGCATCGCCGAGTATCGGCCGCCGCTCGGAGCGGCGATACCGGACAGGCGCGGCGATAAGGTGGCGTCTAGCCGCATCGGTTCACCCGGGCCTCCCATGGACACGCTCACGACTGCAAGACCGCGCAATCAGCTCAGCTCAGCTCACGCCCACGCCTCTCGGAAACGCTGCCCCGCCGCTCTGGACCGGCTCGTAATGGTTTCCTCGTACTCGGCGACGCTGCACGGTGAAACCCCACGCCACCGGACCCGTTTACGACCGGGTGAGGGCTCGTTCTACGCGCTGGCTCGGTTGCGGAGAGCTTTTTATCTGCTCTGACCAGTACTCACGGTTGTTTACAGTCGAGCGGTGATCCTGTCTTAGCTCGAAAAGACAACTAGTGGGCGGTTACGGACAACGGCAGCAAGAGAGCTGTGCGCTGTTGTGCTCTCATCCGTTATACCCACAGGGTAACGGTTTTGCAGCGGCAGAACATGCTCCCACTCGATTTCCCCGGCCCATGTTTGCCCTCCGCCGCCGCTCAGGCGTCAGAGGAGGCCGTGCTGTGCCGCCGCCGCGCCGTCCACGCAGGCACGGGGCGGGGCCGCTGGCAGTGCGGGCTCACGCGTACGAGCCGTCAGAGCCGCCGCCGCGCCGTCCACGCGGGCGCGGGGCGGGGCCGCTGGCAATGCGGCCTCACGCCTACGAGCCCGCCAGAGCCACCGGTCGCAGCTCGGACCATTACTCATGCGTGGACGGTGGCCGGCGGACGCTGGCTGGGGCCGTCCGCGGGCCGTCCGTGTGCCGTGGAACCGCGTGGGTCTCGGCGTGACCGGGCGGCGAGCGATACCCGGGCGGATGGAGCGGCACAGAGTGACCGCCGCCAGGGACGCGCTTCCTATCGGCAGAGTACCTACCTGAGTTGCTACCTGGGACATCGCAAGTGCCTACGTCATTCCCAATCGGCCGTCCTTCAAACCGGAGAAACTGTTGTAACGCACTTTCCTCTGAAGTCATAGCCTGCAACTTGCGGACGGCGTTCGGTAGTGGGAACGCTACCTGGACGTGAGGGGATACGTCAAAGTTGCAGCGCGCGCCGGAACTGGGGAGCTAGCGGGTCACGTGTCGGACGTGCGTCCGGCGTTTTGTACCGGCTGTTGCATTGTTTTTACAGATAATTCGATGTTACTTCAACTATCGTGGGTGGGTTCTTACTGCAACGATGCGTGACACATTTTCTGATATCAGAAAAGCGGCATTTTGTGCGTGATTAAACAAGGCAGTGCGTCCGTTGGCGAGCCTCGGGTAGTGTGTCAGCGGCGCTAGCCGTGCTGGGCATCCTGTTCAGTCCGATACCATCCCTGTTTACTGCCTGGTGGATAGCGATGCGGGACGGGTTATCGGCCTATCAGATCTGATTCACACAATATCAGCAGCGCCCGGCGCCCGGATGGCCGGGCGTAATCCAGCTTCATCGTCCCGGCTTACCTGTGGACTTGGCCCGAAGTGCCGGCAATTGTGTGGTGCTCAGCGGGTGTGGGTGTGTGTATTTTTTTTGCTGACCACCGCCGTGTTTGTTTCAGGAATACTTCCGGCGTCGAGCGGAGGTCGAAATGGAGTACAGCAGGAATCTCGACAAACTGAACAAATCGCTGTCCCAGCGCCACAAGGATCTCAAACAAAAGTAAGTCGGTCGGCCGGCGCGCCGCTCGCGACGCCCGACAGCCGCGCGAGCCTGACGCCGGCCCGCCGCACGCCAGGACGCAGTGCGGTGATCAGCCGGTGACATTGTACCATGGTCTGGACGTGAGCGCCAGCAGTGCCGTGACTCGAACAGTCCCGTTGGCCTATTATCGGCCTGGGTCAGGCGGTGCCGGCGCCACTCGGCCTGATTAGCGGCGCTCTTCACGTGGTGCCGAGCCCGACTTTCGCGCTGTTTGCGTGGTGCCGAGCGGACCACGCTCCCCGCTGGACAGGGCGTGGCCGTGGCGACATCAGCCTCCGAACACACCTCAGCCTGATGGGTGCCGCGCACGCCTGGGCGATGGCGGCCTGCTCGACGGCCGGACCGCCAGCCGTGCCGCAGACTGGGCCGCTGGGGCGCCGGCGCTGCTCCCACGGGCCCGGCGGCGGCGGGGCCTGGCCGGGCCGCCGGTTCAGGTGCGGCGCCGCCCGTAGCGGCCCGGCTGAAGCGGGCGTGACCGGCCAGCCGGCAGCAGCGAGCGGCGCCGTCCGTCAGGCGGCGACCCGGGTGCGGCGCGTGAGAGCGCGCCAGTCACGTCACCCGTCACGGCGCGGTGCCGGCGTTTGCGCCGGACCGGTCTCACGCGCGCCGCCGCTGCCGCCGGCGCCCCTGACCCAATGGGCCGGCCCGTTATGGCGTCTGCGTGCACTGCTCTGGCGGCGGGCGGGGCGCGTGCCATCGCACTGATCCGTCCCAGCCCCATCCGCCCCGCCCTCGAGCCAGGTCGGCGCGAACAACATTGCGGCAGCGGCGCGTGTCCGGCACCGGCAGCCGAATGCTGGGCCTGTCAGTCAGCTGGCGCCGGCACAGGCTGTGTCCTGTGTCAGCGGCGGGCGCCACGCGGCGCCGCCGGCCGACCTGTTCCGCGTGAACGCCTTGTCGCGCGGCTCTGCCCGTGGCGAGACAGACGGAGCTCGAAGCTTCGCGCGGGGCCGCGGGACTGGCGCGCGGTCGGCCTCTGTCGTCGGTGGTGCGCCGGCCAGCGAGCTCTCTGCGCTTGTCGGGCAGTCCACCCCTCCGCCCGCTGTTCGGTCGGTAGGGCGTGGCGGTGGTCTGTGGCCGCCCTCTCGGCCGTCGGCTGTTATCGCGCATCACGCCCCGCCGCTTGCCCAACGCGAAGCTCGCCTATCTGGCTGCGGTGAGATCGCTGGTGGCGGCGACGCTCGGATGCCCCGGCGGCGGCCACGCTCCAGGGCACCGGCGACGGCCGGCACCTCTAATGGTGGGCTCCGGCCTGGCAGCCGAGCAGCACCCGGGCCTGGCCGGAGAGCCGCCAGTGGTGCTTACTGTACGTCAGGTGCGACCTGGAGATGTCCGGGAGGTTCAGCCCTGACACCTAACACCAGTCATTTGGATGTGCTGCCAGCGCCCGAGCCCAGCGTCTGTACAGGACCCCGAGGAGCGTCAGCAGCGTCTGTACAGGACCCCGAGGAGCGTCAGCAGCGTCTGTACAGGACCCCGAGGAGCGTCAGCAGCGTCTGTACAGGACCCCGAGGAGCGTCAGCAGCGTCTGTACAGGACCCCGAGGAGCGTCAGCAGCGTCTGTACAGGACCCCGAGGAGCGTCAGCAGCGTCTGTACAGGACCCCGAGGAGCGTCAGCAGCGTCTGTACAGGACCCCGAGGAGCGTCAGCAGCGGACGATACGGACCGCTGCTCCCCCGTCACGGGACGGCCCGGTCCTCCAGCTGCTCCACTCTTGGTACACTGGATCCCCTGTTCACCTTTAGCGCGTCATGCGTGCGCGGCGGCGGGGGAGATAACGCCCACCCGTCACCCCTCCCGTGCGATCGGCGCCGGTGACTCAGCGGCGGCCCTGGCGTCATTGTTGTACCCACGTGAACAGACTGGTGTGTGGCGTGAAGGGCGCTAGCACGGGCACAGGCTGGGCGGCGCTGGGCGCAGTCGCCGATGGTGTACTGAACGGGCCGGTGTTGCCCTGGCCGTGCTGCCTGGCGCTTGTTTTGAACCGTCTCCTGACATCAAGGTCGACCGTTTTGCCGTGTTCCGTCTTCCGCCGTTGCTGTCAGCGTGCGGGGTTGTGATCCAATCGACTTAATCAGTTATTTACGTCCTGAGCTAATTACTTATTCTGTCGAAGGGTAATTAAATCATCACCTTTCTGTTTTAAGTCAGGCCAACTGTCAACTACTTGTGAGTCGTGCGGAAGACAGGATATGAGTTTTCCGTTACGTTATCTTAGTTTGTTTTTGACGTGCTCTTGTAACGCCTTAATTTGATCGCCTTTGTGGATGCGATTTGAGAAAAGGGAAGTGGCGGACAAGGAGACCACAGAAAAAAGCGCGTAATTCCGGCGTGATCTTCAGTTAGGTGGGACTTGTGATGCTTATATGAAACCATAACACGTTCAAACGCCGCGTGATTTTCTCTGCCGCTGAGCGCTTTCTAGTGTATTTTCGATGAAAAGCCAATCCATATGACATCGCTACTATATTGACGCAGAATAATCCTAAACGGTGATGCATGATGCATCATCTTCAAAGCCTACAGAAATAAACGTGCCTCGCACGAGCTGAAAGCAGTTGCTCAGTAACTGCATCGAACAGTCCCGACAGACCGTTGGGCGGCTGCCGAGCCCACCAAACGACCCCGCGACAGTGACCGGCTGTGTCGGCTGATGTCGGCTGCTGAGCCCACCAAACGACCCCACGACAGTGACCGGCTGTGTCGGCTGATGCCGGCTGCCGAGCCCACCAGACGACCCCGCGACAGTGACCGGCTGTGTCGGCTGATGCCGGCGCCCGAGGCCACGTGAGATGGTGTCGACCCAGTCAACTCCCCGGAATGTTAATTAGCACGTGGTGTCCGGCGCGCGCGTCCTTCGCCCGAACAGAAGCCGCCGGACCACATCGGGCGACACTCGATAGGCAGCTGGCGGTCTGGTCCCGCGAACAATTAGCCACCCGGGCCTGCTCGCTGGAACCGGCGGAATGGGCGGCGGGTGGGAGCGCCACGCCGCGGCGGGGCCGGCGGCTGTGCTGTGCTCTGCTGTGACGGACGCCCCGCATGCGAACTGGAGCCGCACTGCAGACCGAGTAAGCCGTGCGCGCGGCTCCCCGGCACTCGCCGGCCTCATCGGCAGAGCGGAGGCTTGGGGGAGGGGGGGGGGGGGGGGGGAGGTTCAGCGCGTCGCCCGAATGTGCCGTGTTTGAACCCTGGCCTGACCATTCGTGGTCGCACGTGGGCATCTCGCCGCCGCCGCCGCCGCCGCCACCCGCCTGGCGCGTGCCGGTCCCCAGGGTGGCGGCGCTAGTGGCAGGCGAGCGGTCGGTCGCGCCCGCTGCGGCCGGCGCGGCGGGGCCCAGGCCCAGGGTCAGGGTCAGGGTCAGGCGGCGGACGACGGCGAGCGGCGCAGTACCCGATAGCCGGCCAGATAGACGCCGAAGTCGGCAGAGGTCGCTGGAGGTTAGCTGGCATTCGGCGTCCGACCGGTCAGCCAGTCAGCTTCGGGGCACTGAAGCTGCGAGCTGCTGGAGGGGAATAGCGTTAATGTATGTATGAAGTGCCGGATATGTAAGCAGGCATGCTCGTTCCAGGCTGACGAGGCGGAGCTTTATCTGTATATAAAACATATATATATATATATATATATATGTATATATGTAAATATATATGATATGTATGTGTGTATGTATGCATGTATGGCAGTGTGGCGCACGCCGATGTGTTGGGCATTTATGTCATCGATATTGTACGCCGTTCATTTACTTCGAGGCCACCCCGGTGAGCCTACCCCTCAAAATGAGAAGCGATTGCAGCTGATCTGTGGTAGCTCCGAGCCTCGCTGCTCACCTGAGCTTGCGAGTCGTCCCAGCGGACGTGCACACGTGCTGGCGGTGCTGCCGGCCGCGCTGTACTCTGCACCGCCCCGACGCTGAGCATCTGGGGCGCCTGAGCGGCCGCACTCACCGATGCCGGGCTGACGCTCCCCCTTCTCTCGGGCAGGCGGGAGCAGATGCACCTGTTCTCCTCCTACTCGTGCTGGCAGCTGCTGATGAACCAGACGCGCCAGGAGTCGCGCGACCGCGCCGTCCTCAGCGACGTCTACGCCAACGTCATCACCAACAAGCTGTCCCGCATCAGCGACGACCTGCAGCGCATCTACAAGCGGGTGAGTGGGGCCGGACATTGGTCGGTGACCTCAGTACGACGGAGCGGACTGAGCGCTCCTGACGGCTGCACTCAGGGCGATAGAGCACTGCGTGCTGGTGGCCACGGCGTAGGCCAGGAATTGTGGGTGGTTTCTGACGCATGAGAGCCTGCCGACTTTATTGATACCGTCCTCGTAGATGCGGACCCGGCAGGCGGTGTTCCCGGGCGGGTCTCGGCCGGCCGGAGCGATCACGTCCAGCGGCTGACCCATCTGCCGAGCTGGACGCGCTGCAGAGGCGCCGCCGGCACAGGGCAGCATTCAACGGCCCGCCGCCGCCACATGTGTGGCCTGCATTCACGAGTCATATCCTGGCGACCCGACGGGGCGTGAGTGATGGCGGCCGCTCGCCGCGCGCCCCCGGCATAAAACAGCGGCCGGCTAACGCGGATGTAATTTCGAGGCCTGCACGTGCCTCGGCTGTGTGGGGTCGCTGACGGGAGGGGGCTGTGACCTCGGCCGGCGCGGCACGGTCGACCTCGTCTGGCGCAGGCGATCGGGGCCGGGTTAAAAGTCAGGCGAGGTATCATTGTCGAGGGTAGTTGGGATGATAAGTGGAGCGGCATGGGCCGATGAAGTTTCTTCCAGTCATTACGTTGTTTTGAATGCTTGCGGCCCCTGGCTTATAATCAGCCTGATTCTCAGGTAATTTAGTGACCGATGGCCACCGGTTGACATATGACTGGTTGCTCGGCGGCTTTGTTTCGCTTCCTGACTGCCGCCGCCTATAGTCCCAGTCGGCATGATAATGCGAGCACGTCACTGGCGGCCCTGGCAATAGGTCAGAAGTGGCCGGTGGTTGTCACGCTGCGGTGTGTTGCGGCGTCATTGGGCGGAGCTGGTGCCATCGTTCACCTCCGTCCCATGCGGCGCTGGCACCGCTGTCAACACCTGTGGCAATCGTCCGTGCACGTACCCCGCACTATGTGTGCCGCCGGCCGGCCTCGCCAGCCAGGCGGGTCCGCTCGACGCCACTTGTTCGCGCCCGTTCGTGTAGGGCCCGTCAGTCAGTGGCGCCTTGGTGGCACGCATCGCCCGTCCGTGTAGAGCCCGTCAGTCAGTGGCGCCTTGGTGGCACGCATCGCCCGTCCGTGTAGGGCCCGTCAGTCAGTGGCGCCCTGGTGGCACGCATCGGCCGTCCGTGTAGGGCCCGTCAGTCAGTGGCGCCCTGGTGGCACGCATCGGCCGTCCGTGCAGGGCCCGTCAGTCAGTGGCGCCCTGGTGGCACGCATCGGCCGTCCGTGCAGGGCCCGTCAGTCAGTGGCGCCCTGGTGGCACGCATCGGCCGTCCGCTCCCCGCCACGGGAGCACGCCGGCGGCCGCCGCGAGAGCGGGCGCCGCCCGACCACCGGTAATCACAGCACGGACGGGACGGCCGGGCTCTGGATGCCGTACTCTGCACAACTGAAGGTGCCGCCGCTCTGGCGGTGCGGCGGCCCGCCCACGACCGCTGCCGCCTTACCGCCGCTGGTCACCGCCCGACGGCCGTCCCAACCTCCCGCTGGCCGCGTGACGCCGCCTGCTTTCCAATCATCTCCGATGATTTCCAATCTCTGGGCGTGCGGCTGGCTGCGGAAAGGCGTGCGCAGTTTCGAGATCTCCAGCGGCGGTTTTTGTGCCGGGCGCCCGCGGCCGGACGGTGAGCGGGCGGTCGGCTGGCCGGCACTGCGCCGTCGTGACCGGCGATGCCGCCACCGACCTCAATAGCTACCAGTTCGAGGCTCCCCGCCCGTTTTTTGTGGGGACCGCTCGGCTCATCGACGCCGCTCTGCTGGGCTGCGCGGGACCCGAAATGCCGCTCTGCTGGGCTGCGCGGGACCCAAGATGCCGCTCTGCGGGGCGGGGCGGGACCCAAGATGCCGCTCTGCGGGGCTGCGCGGGACCCGAGATGCCGCGCTGCGGGGCTGCGCGGGACCCGAGATGCCGCTCTGCGGGGCTGCGCGCAGCCTAACATACACTCGAGATGCCGCCGCACTGTTGTCTGAAATTCATTAGAGACGTGAGGCGGTGATGACTAATCTCTGGATCGGAGGTTGCGCGCGGGCCACCTGGTCGGCCTCCTCGCGCCTGCAGCGCGTCCGCCTAATGATAGCCGGCCGGGTCCGGCGGCGGTGCCCGAGCCGGGCCGGCCTTGTTCGGCGCCGGTCCGGCGTCCAGAGTGGACCGCGACCTGTACCGCCGCACAGCTAAATGACGACCGGAGGCTGGGACCGACACAGCGCCGGCGGAGGGCCATTACGCTCGCTGACGGCGGCGGCTGACCGGGCCGACGAGCTAGGCGCGGAGACTGGAACCCGACTCGACGCGCACCCCCTGATGCGGTGATGGTCGCACGCCTTTGTCTCTGCTCAGGTCGTGGACGGGTGAGCCGCTGGCGCTCGGCCCCGATCGTCCCGCGCATCGACTCCGTGCCTTATCGCTGCCGCCCGGCGGCCCAGCTGTCGCCCGGCCGACGGTCCGTGACCTGGCGCGGCTTGTGGAGCTCACCGACCGTGGTCGTGCTCCGGGGCCCCGTGACCGCGCCGTCGGGAGAGCAGGCGCTGAGTTTGTTGGACGTGCTGTGTGATCTCGTCGTTGGACGTGTTGGAATTGTCAAGCGATCCCGTGTCGGGACCGTCGGAGGCTTGTGTCTCGACCGTCGGCTGTCGCGATGTCTGGCTGCCGGACGGGCGCTCTAACCCCTGCCGGGTCTGGCCTGTCTGACCTGTCCCTCGTGCTGATGGGTGGCCCGCACGCCGCCAGCGTACCGACGGACGACTACAACAAAGCCGGCGCTGGGCGCGAGCGCTCGGCGTGGCGTGATGGCCGGCGGCGCGGCGGCGCCCTTGTGCCATCAGAAGGTCGCGACAGCAGCGGGGCCCGGACCGGCTCAGCAGGTGCCGCCTCGTCGCCGCCGCCGCCGCCGCCGCCGCCGCCGCCGGCGGCGGCGACGGCAAGCTGGACAGGCCAACCGGCGCTCCCACGGAAGGCGGCACTGCCACACGTTTGGCTGGAGTGCTTGCTCGGCGGAGCCCCGGACGGCTGTGGAGGGCACTGGGCGGGGGAGAGGTCGCATCGCTCCTGGTAGTGCCATGCCGAAATGAAGCCAGGCGCTATTTGTTGACATTTCCACTCCGCAACGTGTTGCTTTGTTTGCTGTACTCAGCCGAAGAGCCGCTGCGTGTGCTCCGCTGATGGCCTCCTCTGCCTGTTTGTGACCAGCACCACCTAACGATGTTGCTCAGGTCGACTTGAGAGGCGCTACAAAACGCTTAAAAGCCGTGTGTCCGGAGTGTGGGATTGACAGATGGCTGAGCGCCAGATCACGGCCGTCCACCGTCACCTCTGCCGGGATTACGGTCTGCCGCCGGCAGCCGCTCAAATCTGGGCCAGCGAGGCCAAACAGGGCGGTCTAATCGGTTCGGCACACATCGCCCCGCCGCGGGGATCGTTGGAGCCGCGGCCGGCCTGGCTACGGCCGGATTGGCCGGTACGGCCTCTGCACCCGCCGGGCGTGCCGGCGCCGCTGTCCTGCCGACTTGCGGCGCTCGCCGCCGCTAATGGATGAGGTGGCGCACCGGGCCGTGGCCAGTGTTTGCGCCTGACCTCCAACCGGAGGCGCGGCTGTCGGCTGCGGGTCGCTGTCTGCGCGGCAGATCGGACCGACGTCAGCCGGCGGCAGCTGCAGCGCTGCCCGGCACCCGGGCGGCGCCTGTGCCGCGGGCCCCAGCTGCCGCCGGCCGGGACCGGCTGTCCATGCCGGGCGGCAGCACCGGCCGGCCGGCTGGCCGCCTGTTGCAGCTGCTCGCCGCGGCCGGCAGCGCCATGTTTACTCTGGTGCCGCCGCGCCGGCCCCGGTTCCGGGCGCGCGCTGCCGTGTCACGCGCCCTCTCGCTGGCGCCGCCGCCGCCGCTCGGCCGACCGCCGCGGGTTCAACGCCTCCCGGGCGCCGCCGCCGCCGGCCATCGCTCACGCACGGCTGGGCGTGTTGTGTGTGTGTGTGTGTGTGTGTGTGCGTGCGTGCGTGCGTGCGTGCGTGCGTGCGTGCGTGCGTGCGTGCGTGCGTGCGTGCGTGCGTGCGTGTGTGTGTGTGTGTCGGCTCCGACGCGCCTGCGCCGTGTTTGCACCGGAAGGCGGAAGTTTGGCAGCGGCTCACAGCGGCGGCACTGTATGGCCGCCGGCTGAATGGATGCGTTGGGCGCTCCCCACCCCCTCCCCCCGCCCACCTTGGCTGGGGTAGCACCGGTGGGCCGGGCGGGCCGGCGGACAAGTCTGTCGGCTTGACTGAGCTGTGGCGCTGCGTGGGGCGCCTGGACGTCCGACGAGTTACGCACAGTTCCTTGAAGTGCGCGTATTCCGAGCGATGAGGATGGCCGGACCTACGAAGTCGTGAGATCAAGCCCAAGCTGGGGCAGCCGATATGCATTTCCAGAGCACATACGGCCGTGCCTAGGTCTATATCGGTATTTCTCATCGTCTCCTCTTGCCTCGCTGGATGGCTCAGATTGCCCACCAGGAATCCGCCCGCGTGAAGGCTGCGGCGCTAGTAGACCCGGCTCGAGCGCCGGAAATAGCGCAGCGGGTGCGTATATGAAGGTATCGCTTGCCGTCACGCCGGACATTTATGTCCCCGTCTTGAAGCAGGCAGAGGGGAGTGTTTCGGCGCTGGATGTCGGTTCTGTCCATGCCTTGGTGTTGCACCCGGGTCAGATTCTTGGCCTGAAGTCCGCTAGTTATGGTGACCGTTGCTCCAGGGAAACGAGGCCTTTCCAGTATCTCCGCAACCGGGAAACTTGAGCCGGATCAAAGGAACCTTACATCGAGTATCTGGGTGATCCGCCGTCCCGGCATCTGTACTCTCTTCCCTGTCCCGGACCGGAAACGTGGCAGCTCTGCTCGCCGTTTATGGTTTATGGCCGCGCCGAGCCGGCCTGGTCTCGCCCCTATATCTTCCGGCCATAAACACTGGCTGTGTATATGTGCTGTTGCGCAGCGCGCCGGCGGAGGCTGTGCGTCCGTTGTCAGACGTCGGCCGTCCGGAGCCAACCTATCCGCGCCGGCGTTGGCTGTGCGTCCGTTGTCAGACGTCGGCCCTCCGGAGCCAACCTATCCGCGCCGGCGGCGGCTGTGCGTCCGTTGTCAGGCGTCGGCCGTCCGGAGCCAACCTACCCGCGCCGGCGGCGGCTGTGCGTCCGTTGTCAGGCGTCGGCCGTCCGGAGCCAACCTGTCCGCGCCGGCCGCGGCGGCGGCTGTTTTGGGAAACGGGACCACCGACGCGTGTTTATGCCAAGTGGGACCGGGCAAACGACTCGTGGGGGCAGCAGAACAGATGGCCCGGCGGCCGTGCGGTGCTAATGCGGTCATGTGGGTGCCGACGGGTCGGCGCGGTTTGTTTTGGTCTGCGGCCGTTGCGCCGGTGCCGGCGCCGGGCGTGTTGACCTCGCACGCTGAGTGGCCGGCCGGTGGCCTCCCGCGCCGGCCGGCCGACTGCAAGTGATGACGGCGTTTGATCGGTGCGTGCTGGCCTGTCGTGACTGTCGCGCCGCTCGCGTGCGCTGTGACGCGTCGCTCCCATCGGCAGTGTCGTCAGACCTGCGCCGAGTCACACGAGGAGCTGCTCAAGGTGCTGCACGAGTTGCAGGTGTCCACCAAGACGTACAACATGTACTATACGCAGTTCAGCAACGCTGAAAACAAGCTGCAGTACGTGGAGAACCAGAAGGGCAAGCTGGAACTCAACATCCCCAAGGAAAAACTGGAGAAGTCGCGCAAGTTCCGACTCGTCGAGAAGGAAATCCTCAAGGTGAGCGCACTGGCGGCGCGGTCTCAGCCGCGCCGCCGACTGAATACTCCTGGCGCGCAGGCCCGGAGCGGTCATCACGTGTTCGAACCAATGTGTCTGGTAACGACGACTGGGGCGGCGGGCGACGGGCGCGGGCCGACCGGATGTCCCGGTGCGCCGCCGCGGGGGCTGATGGCCGACGTCGTCGACGGCTCGCTCGCCGCTCCGCGATAAAGGCCGACAGCTGCGCCGGGCGTCGATAGTGACTGAGTGATGAGCTGGGGCCACCGCTGCCGCCGTCTCTCCCCCGCCGGCCGGTGGAGGGCTGGGGCCGCCGCCCCTCCCCCCCCCCCTCCGCCGCCGCCGTCTCTTCCCCGCCGGCCGGTGGAGGGCTGGGGTCGCCGCCGCCGCCGCCGGTCCGCTCGATATCGGCCCGTATTGGCTCAATCGGCCGGCCACGTGGCCGCCGCCAGCGCCGTTGCGGCGACCAAGCCGGCCCGCTGTCGATTGTCGGCCGGCTTGAGCCGCCACGGCGGGCTGTCGTTAGCGTCGCTCCATTGCACTATTGCTGGCCCTCTCCGCCTGCCAGCCGCACTGACGAGCCCGGCCCGTCCTTCACAGCGGCGCAACAAGTACCAGGACACGCGGCTTAAGGCTCTGCAGGCGCGCAACGACTTCCTGCTAAGCCTGGAGGCGGCCAACGCGGCCGTGCACCGGTACTTCGCCGATGACCTGTCCGACATCATGGACTGCATGGACGTGGGCTTCCACACGGGGCTGGCACGTGCGCTGCTCATGACGATCGGCGCGCAGGAGTGTGTGACGGCCGGTCAGAAGGCGGGCGCCGACGGTCTGCACAAGACCATCAGCTGCCTCGACTCGCGGCTCGACAAGCAGAAGTTCATCGAGGCCAACAACAACCCGTTCATGCTGCCCAAGAAGTTCGAGTTCATGCCTCACCGCGGAGATCTGGTTGGTATTGAGGCTGACCAGTGGCATCAGGCAGAGAGTTGACAGAATGTGTAGACGACCAAGTTTTGTTTATGATAGGGCTGGAGTTTGGTACGATTATTAAAACGATCGAGAATTATGTGTTTTGCTGGTTTTCCAGCTGGAAAGCACTCTGGAAGTGCTCAACGGGTTGTCATAAACATATCGGTAATTTGCTCAATAGCCTAGCGCATCACCTAGCGAGTGTCGCGGCGTCACCGTGGCCTACGCAGCGCCGTGCCTGCTCTGTCAGCTGACTGACCCATCTGGTGAGGCCGAGCCCCACCTTCGAGCTGACCCGGCCGGCGCCCGCTCGCAGACGAGCCGGTACGAGGTGGACCCCGAGATCAAAGAGGAGACTCAGCTGCGCTACGACGCGCTCTGCCGGCGCATCACCTCGCTGCGCACTTCCACCGAGGAGGTGTGGAAGACCATGGAGACGGCCGAGCGCTCGCTGCTGGAGATGGTGGCCACCGACGAGCTGGACGTGCGCGCGCTGTTCCGGCCGACCGGGCCGCCGCGGCCGCCCGAGACCGTGCTGGCCAAGCTGCGCGCCGACCACCAGGAGACGGAGACGTTCTACATGTCGGTACGGACGCGTGAGCACGCGCGCCGCGGGCCGAGATGGACTGCTGCGGGCTGTGGGCGGGGAGGGGTCGGGCCGGGGGATGGGGCAGCCGCGTGGTGGGGGGATACTCACGGAGGGATACTCACCGAGGGATACGCGCGGAGGGATACTCGCGGAGGGATACGCGCGGAGGGATACTCGCCGAGGGGTACTCACGGAGGGATACGCGCGGAGGGATACTCGCGGAGGGATACTCGCGGAGGGATACGCGCGGAGGGATACTCGCCGAGGGGTACTCACGGAGGGATACGCGCGGAGGGATACTCGCGGAGGGGTACTCACGGAGGGATGCTATATACTCGGAGGTTGCGCTGAATTGTAGGTGTACCACCTAGAGATGCAGTGGACAGCTGTACATGTACACACATGTGAGCGCGCACTGCAGACTACCCGGGCGTTGAAGCTCCACCCCTCGGTACTGCGCGCCGGGGTGTAATGGCGACGTGCGGTTACACACTTAACAAACACTGGTGCGGCGTTGCAGTTTCTTGTGTGGGTACGTCCTGTGGCATGACGAGCGTGAATTCCTAACGCGACCAAACACGCCGCGTCCCGGCTGCTCGTACGCCGGCGGGGTCGCACGAGCCATCGCTTCAACCAGGCGCCGTAATAGAGCCACGGCTCCAGGTGTCGGACCGTCCGCTAATTGCTGGCCTGTTGCGGCGGGCGCGGATGACAAATTTGCCCCGGGTGGTGGTCAGACATACACGCGACGGGCGGACGAATGCGGCCGGTGTCGGTTAGGTGATTGATTGATGGCTCGCTTAGGCCCATTGCCGTAGTTGGCCGTAAAAACGGCACGAATTGGCGCGCTCCCAGCTGGCTGTCGGCTCAGTGGGTCCGTTGTGCCTTGTTAGAGATCGGCGTGGAATGTTTGGTCCGGCGAAGTCAGACACAGCGGCGCGCCCTTTTAAGTCAGATGTCAGATACGCCAGCTGTGCCCGTAGTAAGATAATTGCTTCAGGAATGCCCACTCAGAGGCAGCTGGTAATATATGCAATTTGAAAGAGCTGCTTTCTATTGAACCGCATGCCATCGCAGCCCGACCCCGCTCTGTCCTGCCTCGAGCGCCGTGGGCGCCACACAGGCGGGCGGCCCAGCACCCTCGGCCCGGACCGCCGTCGCAGATCAGCCGATCAGTCGTGACTGCGGCACCGTGACGTCACGTCCGCGCCCAGTGTCGGCGGTGACTGGCCGTGTCCGACTCGGTCACGGCGGCGGCACCGGCGGCGGACGCGGAGCGCTGCGAGGGGCCGGCGGTGACTGGCGCCGGCGGGGACCGATCGGGTAGTCTTCGGTCGTGACACGTAGCGGACCGCGCCGGCTGCCGGGCGCCAAGGGCACGCCGCGGTTGGCTGCCGGTCACCCCCGAACCGCCGGGAGCCCGCCGGGCGGGATCAGATCGCACTGACTCACTGACTCGTAAACCTGTTCAGGCGCTACCGATGGAGCCCAATGGCTTTCCTTGTGTGTTGCGTCTCTTTCTCCGTCCCCCTGCACGCCCTCTCCGTCCCTCTGCACGCCCTCTCCGTCCCTTGCACGCTCTCTCCGACCCTCCATACGCCGTCTCCGTCCTTCTGTACGCCCTCTCCGTCCCTCTGCACGCCACTGTACGTCTGGCCTCTCTGTCGCTCTGTCCTCTTTTCGTCCTTCTACCTGTTCTTCGTTTGTGCTTCCGTCTGTTCTGTCTGTTCTTCTGTCTGTTCTTCCATCCGTTTCCCGTCTATCCCACGGTCCAGCCTTCCGTCCAACATTCTGTCCGTCCTTCTTACAGTTCAGCTTTCTGTCCCCCGGGATATTTGTCCGTCCGTCGCACCTTTGTCCGCTCCTCTGTCCATCCCTCAGTACGTCGCCCCGTCCGTCTCCCTGTCCGTCTCCCCGTCCGTCTCCCCGTCCGTCTCCCCGTCCGTCTCCCCGTCCGCCTCCCCGTCCGTCTCCCCGTCCGTTTCCCGGTCCGTTTCCCCGTCCGTCTCCCCGCCTGTCCGTCTCACCTTTGTCCGCTCCTCTGTCTATCCCTCAGTACGTCTCCCCGTGCGTCTCCCTGTCCGTCTCCCTGTCCGTCTCCCCGTCCGTCTCCTCGTCCGTCTCCTCGTCCGTCTCCTCGTCCGTCTCCTCGTCCGTCTCCTCGTCCGTCTCCTCGTCCGTCTTCCCGCCCGTCTCCTCGTCCGTCTTCCCGCCCGTCTCCCCGCCCGTCCGTCTCCGCGCGTGTTATGCGCTCGCTCGGCCAGCGGCCGGTCTGACCTGCCGTCCCCCGGCAGAAATTCGCCGACTACGTGGGCGAGTCGAACCTGATCGCGCGGCTCCAGGCCAAGTACGAGGTGCTGCGCTCGGGCCTGGGCGAGCACACCACACAGCTGAACCGGCTGAGCCGCAGCATCTGCGAAAAGCCGCGCCGCAAACGGATCGGCCGCGCGCCGGCCTGCGGCCAGCCGCGCCTCTTCGGCGGCAGCCTCGAGGAGTACCTGGAGCTCAGCGGACAGGAGATCCCACTGATTGTCCGCTCCAGCGTGCGCGTCATCAATCTGTTCGGTCTGCACCACCAGGGCATCTTCCGCGTGTCCGGCTCGCAGGTGGGCGGCGTCATCACCTAGTTGGTTCGGTGGAGCGGTGTAGGGGGCGTGTCGCAGATCAGGGCTCGCGGAGCATCACCGGGAGAGGTACTGAAGGCGCCCGGTTTTGACGGCTGCGTTGTGCTCTCAACGTGCTCCCTGCTGGACACGTATCAATTGCTGGGCTAGCATGATGACTCATTCTGCCATTTTATATCACTGATGATGATGGTGATGATGATGGTGATCATGAGCATCATCATGATGATGGTGGTGATGATAGTGATTGTGATTATGAACTCACAAGTGAGGCCATGGATAGATACTTGCCCCAGGTGATGCGGGCTTCCCACCTTTGGTATTGCGAAAGGCGCTTAGATACTTGATGACACGACATGCGCGTCTCTCCACTCTCCTTCGTAAAGCTCACACGACTTGCTCCGATGTCAGCGCTACCCGACCTACGCGCACGTGAATGCTTTCTTCGTAAACGTTTGTAGAAAATTCCTATTGAAGTAAGCCGACGTAAGACATCTGCTTTCGTAACCTGCATTGAATGCCATCGAGCTTCACTCTTTGAATCTCTGTACGTATCGATGTGGAAGTGAATTAAGTTCAGATGATCTCTGAGAATCGACTTATATCTTTGTTTTACGAGCAGAAACGCGCAACCTTTCAAATCCACCCAGCGTACGATCAACGCGGCGCTCAATCGCCTGTCGACCTGATCTGTCGGCGCTCACTGCCGGCGATCGATCAAAGTCTCCCAGTCCGGCCGGTGGCGCGACGGAGCCCGCCCGCGCCGTCAGTGTTGCATCACAACCCGCCGCTCGCCCCGCCGCCACAGGTGGAGATCAACAACTTCCGCGACAGCTTCGAGCGTGGCGAGGACCCGCTGGCGGACGTGACGGACGCCTCCGACATCAACTCGGTGGCCGGCGTGCTGAAGCTGTACCTGCGCGAGCTGCGCGAACCCTTCTTTCCGACGTTGTACTTCGACCAGTTCATGGAGATAGCGCGTGAGTGGCGCCGGCCGGCCGCAGCCGGCGGATGTGTGGCGCCCGGCCGGCGCGCCGCCAGCCGGACGGCACGACCCCTTGACCGGGACCAGGGCGGACGCGCGCCCGGAGACGGCTGGGGTGCAGCCGGAGGCGGCTGGTGTTATCCGCCAGGCGCGCGCCTCGGGCTGCTGCCCGTCCGCCCACGCTGTCCGCTTGCTTGCACGGGTGGTGTGGTCGCGTCTGTTTGCCCTGTGATCTGCAGACATGTGCTGTTTTGGGAGACGCTGGGGAAAACAGCTCCTGATCTCTGAATCCTGAGTACTGGCGCCGGCTCCGTCCGGACTCGGCCCCGAGCAGGCCCACGCTGGCAGCGGCGGTGTCGCCAGCCCAGGGTAGCTCAAGTGTGGGACCGATCACGCAGGTCGGCGTAGTTGGCCGTCTCCCGTGTGCACTGTCGCCTCGCGCCACGGCTGCTGTGCTGTGAACGCATACACATGCATCCTGCCATGTCATGCTGGGATCTCCTGCCGTGTCCTACTGCGATTGGTCCCCCGCCGCCGGGCGGGGCCACAGCCGCGGATGTGATTGGGTCTCTCTCTCTCTCTCTCTCTC